ACTTTAAGAGTTAAACAAAAGAAGACTAGAAGTATATACAACAACAGAGTGTCAGGTATACCAAGTTAGGAAAAAAAAAACATAGGCACATCTAGTAAATTATAGTGAACAAAGAAGTTTGTGAAAGTGAATTCAAAAAGTTACAACAGCAGCAGCATGGAATGGGCTCAAAGAAGAAGAAAAGAACAAAATCCTACTATAAGTCTTATATGAAATACTATTTGGAAAATTAGAAGCTAAGAAAATTAAAAACAAAGAAGTGCTTATAAAAGGACCCATGAAGGTTAAAGTAAAAAAGAAACTCAAATAACTTTTAACTAAGCAGACAACACAGAAGTGCATAAATATAGTAACAAGAACAGTATGAAACACTTTTTACAATCAAGTATGAAAAGTCTGATATAGAAAAATACAAGACTGAGAGAAAAAGATTAATATAACAAATAAGATAAAAAAAAGTATTCATATAAAAGAAAGATTAAATAAAAGTAAGAGGAAGAATCAACAAACAAGAGAAGAAAAAAAAGAAAAGAAAATAGAGAAAGCAAACCAAATGAAGAAAGAAGCTTTGAAGACAATCAATATGCTTGTTATAGAAGAAAAGAGACCCTTTTGATATGACTTTAAGTAGTTAGACAGGCAGTCTATCTCTAACTAAGATAGTACAGCAGGTTGCACTTAGGTACTGTATGGGTAACCGAGTGATGTTAGACTTAGGTATTATAAAATTTTATATAATTGTATATATATATAGTTTCAAGAATCTTAATAAAGTATTAGCATAACTGCTTAAGATTAAAAATAAAAAAAAGATAAACAAACAAATACACATATGTAGAAAAATCTAAAAGAAGATTTGGTTTATATAGAAAGTACACAAATGCAAAGTCTGCTTAAATATATTAGCAACTATGGGGCAAGAGTAGTTAAATATATAAATAATAAGAAGCTAATAAAAGTTTTAGATGAGACAAAACCATTAAGCCTAAATGATATAGAGCTAATAACAAAAAGTCTAGTAGTTAAAGATGTAGATAAAATCATTATATATAACTTACTTCTTTATGGTTAGATAATAGCAGCACTAGGAAAGATAGAAAGCATATGATTACAAAATGAAATTATTGAAAACTGTATTAGAAAAATTAAAATTATGAGTCTAAACCTAAAATTAGTAAATTATCTTTTAAACATAAAACCAAAAGAAATAGCTAGAGAAAAAGATAAGATGCAAGATATCAAAATTATCATTAAAAATGAAAACATACAAGCAGTATATAGTAAGAAAAGACAGTAAACAGAAGTAGAAGAACTAAAGAAAGAGTGGAAAGCAAATACAAAAGATAACAACAGCACTAGCAAACAAAAAACAGAAGCAATACAAAGTAATAAATCACAAATACAAAATCAACAAACAGGAGAAACTTATATATCATTAGAACAAAGTATCTGAGTACCAGCAAATAGGAAATGTAATACAAACAACTTACACTATATAGAGATACTAACACACAACTTGAAAGATAACACAATTCAAGAAAAGTTGCAATATATAAAAGCAATATTAGAAGAAAACAAGTATATAAAATCAGTTGAAAAAACAACTAAAGAAAATAGCAAATAAATAGAAATAGATTTTAACTACAAATATAGCAAAAAAAAAGCAACAACAGAATTACAAAGACAAAACATCAAAGAAGTACAAGTTATAAAGAAAAGAAAAGAAGAGAAAACCATGTATCAAATAAGAATAACTTCATTAAGAAAAAACCAAAAAGTTGAAGAACTTTATGAAATATATAAAAAGAATAGAAAAGAAAAAATAGTAGAAATAAAAGAGACAAACAAATTTTCAATAATCTGGAACCTACTAGCAGATATAAAAGAAGAAGAAATCAAGTATATATGTAGAAATATAAGAAGCATACAAATAATTAAGATTAAAAGAATAAGATTCAAAGTTTTAGTAATAATCAAATCTATTTATTTGGAAAAAAAAAGAACTCCATGGTCCTTGTTAATTGAAAACAACAACCTAGCACATGTTACATAGAGATATAAAGACTATGAACAAATAAAAAACAAGAAAGACATATAATTAACTCATAGGATTAGAAAGAAGAGTCTTAGAAATATTATTACTAAGAAGTCTCAGAAACAAAGAAGCAAAAGTGGTTTACATTTCTTCTAACAAAAATGAAAATCTAAGAAGCATAACAATAATAATCTTTGAAAACAGCATAGATTTTATGAAAACAAATAGTAAACTAGTCAGATATTACAATTATATACTGTACTGGAAATTGATTGAAGAAAGAAGACCAGAAAGTAAAAACATGTTGATCTATAAAACAAAAATAATAAAAGAAAATAATACAAATGATGAACATCAAAAAGTCAATAGAAAACTAAATTATAAAAAAAAAACAAATACAGAAATAAATAAAAACAGTAAAGACAATGAAGAAGACAAAAAAGACATACTAACTATTTGGGAAAGAATAGATCAATATCAAACTACATTACAAAAAATACTAGAAAAACTAGAAAAACTAGAAAAGATAAGTGAAAAGTGGGAGAACTCTGCTCAACACTCCTAAAAATTATCATAGTTAAAAACATGAATGTAGATAAGCAAATCATGAACTTCTTACAAAATGAAAGAAGAATATATGAAAGAACACAAAGAAAAAAAACTTCTTATTCTTTTAAAAGCTTTAGTAAGAAGAATAAGAATAAAGAAAAAAAGATAATTAGAGTAGAAAAAAGTAACAAACTTAAAGAAAAATGAAAACAAATAGGTAGAAAGGAATTTAGAATAACATGTCACAATGTTAATGGACTTAAAACTAAAGGATAAAAACTAGAAAATCTTTTAAGTTAAGTAGAAAAAGAAGAAATATCAATATTAGATATAATAAAAACAAACATTGCAGAAAAAAAAAAATTTCTAATATATGATCTTAATATACAATATAAAGATTACTGGACTAGTACAGCATCAGACAAGAAAAAAGATTCAGATATTGGTATATTTATAAAAGAAAAATAGAAAAAATATATAGAAGTTATTAAAAGAATTAGTAAATATATGATAGAAGTATAATTATATTTTAAATAATTAGAACTAATTGTAATAGAACTATATATTCCACCTAATGATAAGCTAACTTATAAAAGCATTTAACAAAAAGTGATGGAAATGATAATGAGCAGAAAGAAACATACAAAAATAATTATTTTAGGAGACTTTAATCATACAGTAGACAATGTACTAGACAGACAACATCTACAAATAACAAACTACAAGAGATTATTATTATTTAATTAAGTCAAAAAACAAGATTTTATTGACTCATACAGAAACCTCCATTTAACAGAAAAAACATACACATAGTCAAGTTGTGAAGCAACAATACGAACTAACTATATATGACTATCAGAATCACTTACATCAAATTTATAAAAAACAAACATAGAAAAAGCAAAAGGATTGACTAATAGTAATTATAAGATAATATTAATAGAAATATGAGTCAAACATATAATCGCAAACAGTAATAATGCAAACATTAAACAAAAAAACCAAACAAGGACAATTTATCTATATGAAAAAACAAAACAAGAAGATTGAGAAGAATATGCAAGAGATCAAATAATTAGAAGAAAATGAAATAGGTACAAATTACAACACAAACATATTAGATTTAATATGGAACATAATAGAAGGAGCTATAATTGAAGTAGCAAATAAATAAATTCCAAAAAAGAAGATTTTTGATACAAAAATAAACAGAAAACAAAATAAGAAAAAGAAATAACAAGATAAACATATTATAAAACTGCAACAGATAATTAAGAAAATAAAGACAAAGAAAATCAGGAGACAGAAAAAAAAGAAATAACAGAAATAAACAATAAACTTAAAACTATAGGAAAAAGAATAAAAACAATATTATCAAAATTGTACAGACAATAGTCAGAAGCCTGGATAGAAGATATAAAAGGCTGACAAAGAATTTTTAAAAAGAAAAAAGAAAGAAAATGGAAACAAGTTCAAAGAAAACAGATAGAAGAAAACATAAACATGAGATGTGAAATGATCAAGACAAATTAAGAGTAAATGATTGCTAGCCTACTAAACAGACCATTCAAAAAGATAATTCTTGACAGATTTATAACACAAGATAGAGAAGAATTAGAACTAATAACAGAACTAATGTTTTGAACCAGTTGGGCTATAATCGGTTAACCGACCCGACCCAAATAAATTTCAGATAACCGGTTGAACAAATTCTTAATCAGTTGATCTGGTACAAGTGGTCGAGAATCGGGTAACCGGTTGATAGGATCGATAAAGTATGTAAATGACCAAGAAAGAGCGAAGATTCCGGAAAGAAACTGAATGAACATAAAAGACGAGCAAGGTTGAACCAAAAATTTGAGTGAAACTCCGAAAATTTCCGAGGTAAGAACGAGTAGAGATTATTAATTTCGACCGGTTGTAATCGGTTGACATAAAATAATTCGGTTCGATTTACCGATTGAGTATATTTTTTTCGGTTCAATTCACTAATATGAAACAGATAGTCCTTATTTATATAAGTTTTATATATAAATAACAAAAGTGAGGTACAAATAAGTGCCGTCAAGGAAAAACCTTTAAATTTTATCTTGTACCGGACCCAATCAATAATAAATCAAATAGATTGAGTCCGGCACAAAATATCTAATTGAAAGCCCGGTGACAGGTTTTCCCTTGACAGCACTCAAATAGTATTGCTTTTATTAATTTATTATTATAATAACAAGTTTATAAATACATGATAAATATTTAGTGATGCAGTAATAGTATAATACTTTATATCTTCAAATACTGTATTATTCAACTTAATGATTCAAGCTTTCATCCCAGTAAGCCAAAACCTAGTCATAAAATTGGGAGGAAACTGATTAATCAAAAAAAAAAAAAAAAAATTTATAAAATCAAATAAATTTTCTTACCATTTACTACGACAATCAACTGCTTCCTTTCTAACTAATCGTTTTTTATCATCTAGGGATTTCCCTAGCTCTTTAATAACCTTTGCTTTGAAAGGGTACAAAACATCATATGGTATTGTATCTGGAAATGTACCCAAGCATTGCAAAGCAGAAATACGGACTTTCTATGGTTATAACAAAGAATAATATTATTACATTACTATATAAATAAATATAATATTGAATTGTGAATTTCCTTACCATTGTATTAATATCTGTCATTTGCGTTAGTGACAATAATAAGGGTACTAACGAGGAAATATGCTCAGATATTATATGTGGTGCATCAAACGGAATCATATAAAATATGTCAATGGTCGATGCTCTCAAATTGGAATCGGCCAATGATAAAGAGTATATGAGCAAAGGAAATAACTGTTAATATTTAAAGAATGTTATTAATTAATATTATCGGTCCTCAGATGTGATGTAATAAGGCATAACGTACTGAAGGAAGGTCACCCATCAAAACTTGTTTTGGAACGTTTCGTAATAAATATGATAAAGCAATCAAATAATTATGTTTGGTGTCTGAATAGCATTAATAAAAAAATTTTAGGAAATGAAAAAAAATTAATGACATACAAAATTATACAAAAAAATACCATCGTCCGAAGATTTGAAGCGCTCTATTATTATAGGTACGCAATAATTAAAGAATCTTTGCTTATAAAGAATCTGTATTATAATTTGATATTAATACGTAATAAATCTAAATTAAATTTCAGACCATAAATTACAAGAATGTACCTTTACGATCGCAAATCCCTGTCGACTTAAGATTTCATTCTCACCAATGATAATACCAATACCTTCAGCAGATTGTTTGCCCAAAGTAGGATCACTAAATAGATTCATGATTTGACCAATACAATCAAAGCCAAGTTGATGCGTGCGTAACACTAATGCTTTGGTAAACTGATAATTATTGTTAGCTTTTATTTCAGAGTTAACAAATGTGATTGAATTCAATATATGAAAATACCTATAACTCACCCAAAAAAAGAGATATAAAGATTTACGTCTAGTAGTTTCTAACCCAGATGTGGATGACAGTTGATCTAACAATTCACCAAGAACTTGTTCTCGTGTAAATTGCATTAATTCGGGTTCTATAAATTAAAGACCTATTAGTATCATAATATTATTACATAACATATAATTAAAGCCATTGTCATTTATTAACCTCGATCCCACTTATTTAATATTGAAGCAGCTAACTGAGCCAAGGAATCTTGTTGTATTTCGTTTGTAGTAGATAAGCAAATCCTAACTATCCTTGTCAGGAATTCAAAAATATCTGATAATGTAGATTGGACCTAATTCGGTTTTAACCTACAAACTCTGACACGGAGTGGATTTCATCTAAAGCCAACATATTTTTTATATAGACGCCAATTTTTTAGCTGTCGTGTAACATATTCAGCTAATAAAATGCAGAAAAACTTTATATAATTTTGACTTTTATTAATAAAATTTTAATTTTTAAAAATTTATTAATAAATTTTAAATTTCGTTATGTTTTTTATATATAAGCGCCAAAATTTTAAACTCTTGTATAAATTTAAATTGATATAACTTTCTAAATATAAGATATTTGAATTTTTTTTTGTAGATTTAATGGTTTAAATAAACTGGTATTAAATATATAAAAAAAAATTTTTTTGATATCTTTTGTTTAAAAAGTTATATCAATTTAAAAATTTCTATAATTAAAAGGTGATGGCTTTTCATGAAATCCAATGTATTAATATATTATGCCAGAAATAAGTGCATACCTCTTGCCGAATAGACCCTATAGCGGCCGTGAAGCATAAAGTTAGGTTCTTCTGGTACAAACTTGACTCTAACTAAATTCACAAAATACATCAAAATTGTAACCAATTTTATAGAACATCAAAGGAATTGCATTAAAAACCCACAGCTAACGGATTGAACGGAACATTTGTTTCAGATAACAGGGACTGAAGATAACTAGTATTTCCTCGTGTGAATAGTTCAAATATTTTGCCGATAAATGCGGTTTGTTCACTATACAATACGAAGATAAATATTTATGACATAATTATCAAATTTAAATATAATAAAGTAACATACCTCGTATTTAGACTCTTTGTTATTGTAGAAATCATTCCAGCGACAACTCGAATAATTCGTAAGTCATAAAATACTGAATATTCACAATCAGAACTTAAGGTAGGTTCTATACATTTAGCAAGAAGATGCGGTATAATGATATTCACATAATGCGAAATATCAGCATGGCCTAAAGACAATTTCTTTAGAAGTAGAGTATGAAACGCTTGTAGAATTGCTTCAGTATAGTCACAATTCGTACTAGACAAAGCTGAATACCAAAGATGTCGTTAAACAAAAATAATGGTTTATATATAGTAATTTGGAACACAGTACACTTACGTGAAAGGGCATTGTTTAATTTTGCAAGGATTTCAGGTACTAAAGCTTCAAATAATATTGGCTCAACCGATATTTTGGAAACCGAATTTAATATTTTATTATAGTTTGTATAAGACCCCTTGTCTATAGCATCCCCAGTATTTGGAAGTTTAGACACAAATATGGGAAACGTGACATCTAACACAATTTTCGGTTTGTAATGTGCGATATTTCCCAAATATTCTAAAGCCGGCGATCTATGAAATTTACAAATCATTAGTTAAATCTATCACATAATCCTAATAACTATCATTAGATAAAGACATACGTAATGCCTTGATCTTGTTCGTCAATAATGATTTTATTAAAATATTGTAGAATTAATCCTATTTCACTGTCAGAAAGAAATTTATCCAATAAAATCATATCATGTAATCCTCGCAGACCACATAATCGTAGTTCATTATATTCATTGATTCCTAAAAGTGCTGAACTGAAAACTTCCAACATCTCATCTTTATACGGCGTCAATGGCATTACAAAATTTTGATCTATGCATAAAAATTAATTATTAATCTGTCACAATTTAATAGGATCTCTTTTAGTATAGGTGATTCCATTAATACAATTATTATTAATCGATTAATTTTAAAGTAATGTCACCTATACTAAAAGAGATCCATTTAATATTTGAAAAATATAAATATACATATGGATTTACATTTAACACCTTTGATAGTTGAACTATTTTCAACTGAACCATAAAGACATCGAACAGCAGCAATAAGCTCTACTAATATTTCGAGTATTCCCTTCTTTTGAGTAGCCAAATCACTAGTTCTATATTGGATTATGAAGTTATTTAATGTCGCAGAGATAATGATATTACAAGCCGGATCTAAGAGAATTTAAAGATTAAGTATTTAAGATTATTAAGCATATTATTTATATCATTTCCAGACGATTAGCAAACATATTTACCAGATGCTATTGCACAGTATTTTAATATCTTTCCGCAAGGCTTTGCTAATTTTAATTCGGGGGTTTTAAGGTTTACTAAACACCCAGTGACAACATTTTTTAGAAATTGTTGCAGATGGTCTAGATTTTCTATTCCATCTACTGATAAAGTCTCAGTAATGCTTTGAATAGCTTCAAGAGCAATAAGTTCAAATGAATCATTTGTAGCGTTAATGATCTAATATAAGTTTTGAGTTAATGATATAATTGGGTATATCTTTCATAAGTCCAAAAGTTTAATAACTCACTTCATCTTTTAAATAGTCCCACAAAACTTCAAGATGAGGAACAATGGTACTTAATCCATACACCGGGGCACATGCTTTTAATGCCTCCATAGAATCTTTCTGTATAATGAAATAAAGGCATAAAATTAATGTGGTAGCTAAGGCTGAAAGTAGCTGAGGCAGGGATTTTGGAGGCTCTATTTCAATCCATTAAACCTACTAAAATTTACTTATATTCTTTTTATTATTAACTCAAACCGCTCAATCATATTAAAATAGGTTTAATTTTCAGCTTCAATCAATCTCAGTTTTAGCCGCCACAATTAATATCAAATATTCACCTTAGCATTACTAGAATCAGATGCTAACTTTTCAACTAATAACGGCATCGCAAATTTAGCAAAAAGTGGTGTTGCAGATAAACATTCTCTATAAAAGCATCATCAATTTGGTAAACAAATAGTCATGAATTATATAAACTAAAGTATACCTATTTCAATAATACCTTAGTGCGACTTTTAAATCGTCAGATGTAATTCCATAGGGATCATCTGGAGGTGGTTTAAACGTAATGGGAAAGTAACAAAAAGTCACTTCAAAAAGGGACTAATGGAATATAATTACATTCTATATTAATGCAGTACTAATAGTCCAAATAATTACAAATAACCAACAAATACCTCAGCTTGAGAAGAAATATCAAATTCTTGAATAATTAACTTGATAGAAGAAAAAGCCAATAACAAATTTCGCGGATCTTTTTCACCATCCATAGATTGAATATATCCTGCAACGAATTCTGACTCTAACTGCTTCAATGCTTTTAAATCAGTTAGAATAAATTGCCAATTTAAAATATTAATATAACCTTAAAGTGTAAATGTTTTACCATGAATATGATCACGTAATAATATATCTAATGTTTGAAGAACTTCATGACGGACGATCTGCTGGAGACTTTGAACATTTAAGCCTGCAAAAATTCTTTACAAATTTGAACAATAAATGTTAATATTGTACTCGTATGTATATTTAGTTGCTGACATTTATGACGTAATTTTTTAGGGTGGAACATCAGAAATTCATAACATTAGAGGGGGAGGGGTATACATTTGTGCCTAAATTGTCACCTTAATAAAAAAGTCATAATGGTACTTAGGCAGTTGAAATTAGTCTTATATAGTGCCGAAATTAATTTTCATATTTGCCGAAATTTTTGAACTCTTTTCATCAAAATACAACATATAGTATAGTTATTTCGGAGGGTTTTATATAAAAAAATTTAGCAATACCGAAATGTTTGCCGAAAATACTTTTTTAAAAAAGAATTTAAGCACACATGTATAAGGAGGGGGTAAAACTCTATATAAATAGAAATTGCGTAATTTATGTCAGCGCCCTTATAAATAGTTACGTACGCTTTAGAAACCTTAATTGCATGTTCGTCGCGAAAAGTTCTAAACTGTAAGAGGGATCTCAATCCATGGATTAGATCGGGAACACTCGTTGTGTCGGATAATCTTTCACAATAGAAATCTACCAGTACATTAACTATTAGGAATTACTTAAAGTTAGCGATAAAGCATAAAATAACAAACCAATATTATCATGAATCCTAAAAGGCAATTGTACAATACCAGCGGAATTATTGATTTGTTCTTGAGGGCATTCTGAAAGCACTGAGGATAAGAGTCTTGTGCCTTTATCATATGTAAGATGTAAATTGATAATTTAATCGTATATGAAAATCATCTTTATAAATAATATTGATTCATGAAATACCTTTGGCACGAATAACAGAATCCTCACTGGTTAAAAATTCGCCGAGTGATTTGACAAGTGATAATAAACTTTGACCATTATGCACTTCTAATTAAAAAAAAAAGACATTGACAAAAGTCCATCAGATAGAGTAAGATAACAATTTAATTTACCAGTTACAATCGAAGAAACGATTGAATCGATTTCTTGAGAAGAATCATTCGTTGTTATCATATAACTTCTTACAAGACGTTCCATTTTCATTTTCATAAAAAACTTTAAATTGCCAAAATTATGTAAAAAAAATTTGTACGACATGTAATCAGTCACGAGCTTACATGTAATTGGTTAGAGTATATGGTTTTAGTAAGGCCACGTGATTATTCTCAGTCCCGTGAGGGGGGACAGCGGCCAGTCTACGGGCACGATCTAACTACCCCAAGAGCACCACCAAAAATTTTCGGTTACACAACATTTGTACTACATTCCAGCCAATAGTATTTTACG